AGGGACACTTTTGCCGGCTGATCAGGAAAAATCCGATTCGCGCAACCCGCGGAATAAAGCCCGAAGTTTGCTAATATTCGGCTTCGCCGCGAATCGAATTTTTCCTGAAATTCGAAACGAATTCCACTTCGCCTGGTTCGATTCGCTCATCTCTAATTCCCACAGTAGTAGAAATAATTAGGCCTAAGAAGGGATACTGTGCTGCTCAAAACTGCATTTATCTGCCTTTGCGTATAGCCCATGCAAACGGAGCCTTTCCAGCACTACCCTGACGTGACCCCTATGCTCCTCCAGAGATGCAGAAAAAATTAAGATATCATCAAGAAAAATGACCACAAAAATATCCAAGAAGTCCCTGAACACACATCGTTAATGAAGTGCTGGAAGGTGGCGGGGGCGTTACACAGACCGAAGGGCATTACCAGGTACTCGAAGTGCCCGAACCTAGTACGGAAGGCAGTCTTCCACTCATCTCCCTCCCGAATATGGACCAGATTGTAAGCCCCCCTCAAATCCAACTTCGTAAAAACAGATGCAGTCCTGAGTCGCTGAAACAGTTCTGGTACTAAAGGAAGTGGGTAACGGTTTCTTTACCGTGACCTTGTTAAGCTGTCTATAGTCCACACAGGGCCTTAAGGATTTATCCTTCTTCTCAACAAAGAAAATACCCGCCCCGGCCGGGGACGTGGAGGGGCGTATGAACCCCTTCTGAAGATTTTCCTCAATATATTCCTTTAGTACCCCCAGTTCCTTTTCTGACAGAGGAAAGATCCGCCCAAAAGGTACCTCAGATCCCGGGAGCAGATCGATTGGACAGTCGTAGGCCCTATGCGGAGGAAGATTGTCAGCTCCCCGCTTACTAAATACGTCAAGGTATTGATGGTAAACTGAAGGGACGAGTTGTGTCAGCTCCATGTCAGTATCTACGCAGAATAGTGTGCGTGGGGCCTCCGGCTCATGTGGACAACAATGCTTTTGGCAGTATGGAGAGCCGAACCGGAGGGTACCGGCTTTCCAATTAATCTGGGGGTCGTGGGCTCGCAGCACGGAAGCCCCAGAATAATTGGAAACAGAGGGGAGGAGATAGCATTCAAACACAGGAATTCTCGGTGAGTCTCGGATATAGTTACACAGAGAGGCGGGGTCTCCCAATCCACCACCCCAGACTTGATCCGAGATCCATCGGCTAGGAAAATATTAAACCCACATTCTTTAACCTGTAAGGGTAATCTGGAATCGAGCCGCGAAGTACAGATCCACAAAACAGCTACAGGCCCCGGAATCAATGATCGCTGTTGCCATCACGACCCTTCCGGGGAGCTGGAATGAAATGGGTACCGCTAAATAATTGACATTGTGACTGGCTGTGGTAGGTGTGGCAGAGTAAACAGAAGTGCACTTACCAGCCTTCACCGGACAGGAACGTACCATGTGGCCAGCTTCCCCACAGTAGAGGCACAGGTTGTTGCGGCGGCGTCTTTGACGCTCTTCAGGTGTTAGGAGAGGGACGAGCTAGCCCAACTTGCATTGGTTCCGGCGTATCCAGGGGTTCTGGATTGCGATTCCCAGTAGGGCTACTGACTGGTCCTGGAGCATGGGGTAAACATCCAAGCAGGCCTCAGGCCCTGGCCTGACCTCTCCATCCTGCGTTCCCGCAAGCGTCGGTCGATCTGAATAGCCAGGGTCATGAGATTTTCTAGTGTGGCTGGTATGCCTACCCTGGCTAGTTCGTCTTTCAGGGACTCGTAAAGGGCGCCCCATCGCTTCAAAAAATGCTGCCACAGATTCTAGCTGAGGTGGTTGCTGGATCTCTAATAGTCGATGCGCCCATTCTTGGGGTTCGTCCAGTAGCAAAGAAATAATAAACCCCACCTTCACGGTTTCTGTCGCGAATGTACGTGGCTGGAGCCTAAAGTACAACAGGCAGGCATTACGAAATGCTCTGAACTTGGTGCGATTCCCACTGAATCGTTCTGGGACAGGAACATGAGGTTCTGGCATAAGTGTAGGTGTAGGTGCTGCTGGTCCGGCCAGGGTTTCAGGGGTACCACTGGCCGGAGCTGAGGGACTATGATCTTGGGGGGCCGAAATAGTGGTGGTTAGGGTCTGGATCCGACCATCCAGGTGATTATAGCCCTCCTCCAGCGCCCTTACCGCCTGAGTAAGAGCCGCCAGATGCTGGCACATATTTTCCAGGGGGGATGGTCCTCTTCCAGGTTCCGTCATCTTTGGCCGTTTGGTACTGTTATGCCGCCTGGCAGAGTCTCTAGCAGCCCACCGCACGGACGCTCCCAGGGCGCGGGGTCTAAGTCCCAGCCTGCTGTTCACCAGGGCCCCTGATGGTGGGGATGGACTTGGTGCAGACTGAAACCAGGTCGCGACCCCCGAGTGCGTCCTGCGGTGGTAGAGAATACTGACAGGGGAGTGCAGGAACGGAATCTACTTTGGAAGAGGCAGACAGATACACAGGTCTGATCCAAACCGGATGGATGGATGGATGGATGGATACGGTATGCGTGGTCAGACAGGCCGGGTCGGTATTATGCGGGCAGCGAGGTACAGAGGAGCGAGCTAAGAATGGTCAGGTCACAAGCCAGGTTCAGCAGGATGCGGGCAAATACAGTACCAGGGATCAGACAGAAGAGTAGTCAGGCAAGCCAGGGGTCAAACAGGAGAGAGCAGGATCAGGAACAAGCAGAGGTCGGCAACGGAGTATACAGCAACACAGGAACAGGATACAGGACACAGGATACAAGACCAAACGGCAACTAACATACCTGTTCCTACGTTTAAATAGCCCGCCTCCCGCTGTCATTGGTGCCAGGCGCGCGTCCCGTGATCCCGAGTGCGCATGCGTGAACCCCGCCGCTCCCATGCGCGGCCAGGTCCTACCGCACGCCGGGTAGAGAGAGTTGGTGTTCTGCGCATGCGCCGCCCGACGCGATGCCGCAGAACACCTGGATCCTGACAACATTGAGAGTGGTGCTGTATTTCTTTAGATAATTGTGTGATAAAGGGTTTGCAATTAGTGTCAGCCAAGTTGGAAGATGAGGGTGCTAGGGTGATACCCAAATATGGGGTGCCTTTTTCCTCCCAAGAGTATGGTAGTTGTTCATTGAAGTATTTCCGCATCAAGCTTGGAATACCCATGTCCAAAATGAATGATTTAGAGAAATTTACTTTGTGTTATAACTAGAGATGAGCGAAGTATTCAAAAATTCGATTCGACTGATTTGGCGAATTCGTGGAAAAATTTTGATTCGAGTCGAATATATTCGCTGCGAATTTAACTTATAAAAGGGTATTTCTAGGCTTCAGAGAGCCTTTATATTAGTGCAGAACACTGTACCTTTAATTTAAATGCCCTTGGAGTCTGCTGGGGAAGAGAAATAATACTGACAGTCAGTATGACATGCAGATGAGTGCCGTCGATCTTAGAATCACCGCACACTTCACTCATTTGGGCAGTCACGGGGCCAAAACCAGAGTGTGGAGCCACAGTGTGGCGGTGGAGGCAGCAGCAATGGGAGGCCATACAGCACCCTATGACAAAAATGGAAACCACCAGCAGTGTGAGGAGACCTGAAAGTGGCACATGGCAGAGTGTGGCGATGGAGACAGCAGCAATGGGAGGCCGTACAGGGACCCATGAGAGACTCTGGACCTGGCAGCAGCATGAGGAGGCGGTACAGGGGCCCATGGCAGATTAGGGGCCTGGCAGCAGCTATGGGAGGCCCGTAATCTGCCAGCACCCTATGACAAAAAATGGAACACACCAGCAGTGTGTGTGAGGAGACCTGAAAGTGGCACATGGCAGAGTGTCGCGATGGAGACAGCAGCAATGGGAGGCCGTACAGGGACCCATGAGACACTGTGGACCTGGCAGCAGCATGAGGAGGCGGTACAGGGGCCCATGGCAGATTAGGGGCCTGGCAGCAGCTATGGGAGGCCCGTAATCTGCCAGCACCCTATGACAAAAAATGGAACACACCAGCAGTGTGTGTGTGAGGAGACCTGAAAGTGGCACATGGCAGAGTGTGGCGATGGAGACAGCAGCAATGGGAGGCCGTACAGGGACCCATGAGAGACTCTGGACCTGGCAGCAGCATGAGGAGGCGGTACAGGGGCCCATGGCAGATTACGGGCCTGGCAGCAGCAATGGGAGGCCCGTAATCTGCCAGCACCCTATGACAAAAAATGGAACACACCAGCAGTGTGAGGAGACCTGAAAGTGGCACATGGCATGAGACACTGTGGACCTGGCAGCAGCATGAGGAGGCGGTACAGGGGCCCATGGCAGATTAGGGGCCTGGCAGCAGCTATGGGAGGCCCGTAATCTGCCAGCACCCTATGACAAAAAATGGAACACACCAGCAGTGTGTGAGGAGACCTGAAAGTGGCACATGGCAGAGTGTGGCGATGGAGACAGCAGCAATGGGAGGCCGTACAGGGACCCATGAGAGACTCTGGACCTGGCAGCAGCATGAGGAGGCGGTACAGGGGCCCATGGCAGATTACGGGCCTGGCAGCAGCAATGGGAGGCCCGTAATCTGCCAGCACCCTATGACAAAAAATGGAACACACCAGCAGTGTGAGGAGACCTGAAAGTGGCACATGGCATGAGACACTGTGGACCTGGCAGCAGCATGAGGAGGCGGTACAGGGGCCCATGGCAGATTAGGGGCCTGGCAGCAGCTATGGGAGGCCCGTAATCTGCCAGCACCCTATGACAAAAAATGGAACACACCAGCAGTGTGTGAGGAGACCTGAAAGTGGCACATGGCAGAGTGTGGCGATGGAGACAGCAGCAATGGGAGGCCGTACAGGGACCCATGAGAGACTCTGGACCTGGCAGCAGCATGAGGAGGCGGTACAGGGGCCCATGGCAGATTACAAGCCTGGCAGCAGCAATGGGAGGCCCGTAATCTGCCAGCACCCTATGACAAAAAATGGAACACACCAGCAGTGTGAGGAGACCTGAAAGTGGCACATGTTTGGGGCATGATTCATGGCGGATTTATTCAGTTGTGTCAGGAACTGGTGGTTTGAAATCCAGACTAATCCACGCCTGATTCATTTTCACAAACGTGAGTCTCTCCACACTTTGGGTGGACAGTCGTGTCCTCCGCGGAGTTACAATACCTCCTGCCGCACTAAACACGCGCTCCGATGCCACGCTACTGGCCGGGCATGACAGCCCTTTCAAGGGCAAATTCAGCTAGTTGGGGCCAAAGGTCAAGTTTCGTTGCCCAGTAGTCAAGGGGATTGTCTACCTCGGTTGGCAGGGTGCTGTCCAAGTAGGCCAAAGCCTGTTGTTTGAGGTCCTGCTCCAGGTCCACCTGATGCTGCTGCTGCTGCGGCTGGTTAGTAGTTTCCTCACTGCGCTGGTGAAGAAAGCTACTCATCATCGACTGCAGACTGAGGCAGCCGCTGCTGGTGGAGCTGCCACTGCTCCTACCACCCCACCCCTCCCCTGCTGCCATGGCAGCGGAATGTGAGCGCACAGGGCCCACAGTGTCTGAGGATGGACGTTGGCGCAGAAAGGCAGAGACCAGCTGACTACATAGGTGGTTTTTATAGTACGTTATTTTGGCCTCCCTCTCAGCAGGTGTGAAAAAGGCCACCATTTTTGAACGGTAGCGATGGTCCATCAAGGTGGACAGCCAAAAGTCATCCCTCTGTCTGATGGTTATTATTCGGCTGTCGCTACGCAAGCAAGCGAGCATGCTATGGGCCATTTGTGCCAAGGAATGCGAGGGACTCCCTTCCTCCAACTCCACAGCATACTGCCACGGTGCGTCTGGGTCCTCTGTCTCCTCCTCCTCCTCCTCTAACCACATGCTCCTGCTCCTCCACTCCTGTCCGCTGAGTGGAAAAACCACCCATTTCACTCAATAATTCCTGAGCACCAATGTCCTCCTCTACCTCCTCCTCTTCTTCCTGTCCTGCCCCCACAGGGGTCATGTGGCGTTGAGATCTGTGCGCCACGTCTACCGCACCCTGACCAGCCATTGTTAACAGCATTTGTTCCAGGACGTGCAACAGAGGAATGACGTCGTTTATCCCATAGTCCTGCCGACTCACGAATAGCGTGGCCTCCTCAAAGGGCCTGATCAAGCGCAGGTGTCACGCATGAGCTGCCAATGGCTGACATCTAAGTTACACAGGGAGTACCTTTATCCGCTTGTAACATCAGGAAATCTGTGATGGCCTTTCGCTGTTCGTAAAGGCGGTCTAACATATGTAGGGTTGAATTCCACCTAGTTTTGCAACGTCACAGCATGAGGAGTCGGTACGGGGGGCCCATGGCAGATTACGGGCCTGGCAGCAGCAATGGGAGGCCCGTAATCTGCCAGCACCCTATGACAAAAAATGTAACACACCAGCAGTGTGAGGAGATCTGAAAGTGGCACATGGCAGAGTGTGGCGATGGAGACAGCAGCAATGGGAGGCCAAACAGGGACCCATGAGAGACTGTGGACCTGGCAGCAGCATGAGGAGGCGGTACTGGGGCCCATGGCAGATTACGGGCCTGGCAGCAGCAATGGGAGGCCCGTAATCTGCCAGCACCCTATAACAAAAAATGGAACACACCAGCAGTGTGAGGAGACCTGAAAGTGGCACATGGCATGACACACTGTGGACCTGGCAGCAGCATGAGGAGGCGGTACAGGGGCCCATGGCAGATTAGGGGCCTGGCAGCAGCTATGGGAGGCCCGTAATCTGCCAGCACCCTATGACAAAAAATGGAACACACCAGCGGTGTGAGAGAAGACCTGAAAGTGGCACATGGCAGAGTGTGGCGATGGAGACAGCAGCAATGGGAGGCCGTACAGGGACCCATGAGAGACTCTGGACCTGGCAGCAGCATGAGGAGGTGGTATAGGGCCCCATGGCAGATTAGGGGCCTGGCAGCAGCTATGGGAGGCCCGTAATCTGCCAGCACCCTATGACAAAAAATGGAACACACCAGCAGTGTGAGGAGACCTGAAAGTGGCACATGGCATGAGACACTGTGGACCTGGCAGCAGCATGAGGAGGCGGTACAGGGGCCCATGGCAGATTAGGGGCCTGGCAGCAGCTATGGGAGGCCCGTAATCTGCCAGCACCCTATGACAAAAAATGTAACACACCAGCAGTGTGAGGAGACCTGAAAGTGGCACATGGCAGAGTGTGGCGATGGAGACAGCAGCAATGGGAGGCCGTACAGGGACCCATGAGAGACTCTGGACTTCGCAGCAGCATGAGGTAACGTTTCTGTGGCCATAAGTAACGGTTCTGTGGCCCTCAGTAACAATTCTGTGTCCCTCAATAACAATTCTGTGTCTGTCCCTAAGTAACAATTCTGTGGCCCTAAGTAACGTTTCTGTGGCCCTAAGTAACGTTTCTGTGGCCCTAAGTAACGATTCTGTGGCCCTCAGTAACAATTCTGTATCCCTCAGTAACAATTCTGTGTCTGTCCCTGAGTAACAATTCTGTGTCCCTAAGTAACGTTTCTGTGGCCCTAACTAACGATTCTGTGGCCCTAAGCAACGTTTCTGTGGCCCTAAGTAATGTTTCTGTGGCCCTCAGTAACAAATCTGTGTCCCTCAATAACAATTCTGTGTCTGTCCCTAAGTAACAATTCTGTGGCCCTAAGTAACGTTTCTGTGGCCCTAAGTAACGGTTCTGTGGCCCTCACTAACAATTCTGTGTCCCTCAATAACAATTCTGTGTCTGTCCCTAAGTAACAATTCTGTAGCCCTAAGTAACGTTTCTGTGGCCCTAAGTAACGTTTCTGTGGCCCTAAGTAACGATTCTGTGGCCCTCAGTAACAAATCTGTGTCCCTCAGTAACAATTCTGTGTCTGTCCCTAAGTAACAATTCTGTGGCCCTAAGTAACGATTCTGTGGCCCTCAGTAACAATTCTGTATCCCTAAGTAACAATTCTGTCTGTCACTGAGTAACAATTCTGTGTCCCTAAGTAACGTTTCTGTGGCCCTAACTAACGATTCTGTGGCCCTAAGTAACGTTTCTGTGGCCCTAAGTAACGTTTCTGTGGCCCTAAGTAACGATTCTGTGGCCCTAAGTAACGTTTCTGTGGCCCTAAGTAACGTTTCTGTGGCCCTAAGTAACGATTCTGTGGCCCTAACTAACGTTTCTGTGTCCCTAAGTAACGTTTCTCTGTCCCTAACTCTCTCCCTGAATACAGCCAGGTCTGCCTCTGTTGAATGACTGGAGGCAAATGGAGAATTCTAAAATGGCCGCCATTTATAGCTCGACCATTACACTGTGCTGGCTGGCTGCTGATTGGCTAATGCGATCACATGTCATGAATGAATGCATTATGGGTCAGCGCGCCTTGTCTGCGCGCCTTCCCAGACATCCCCGCTCCGTCGCCGCACATGTCGCCGCCATTTTAGGAAAATTTTCCTAATATTCTAAACGAATTCCACTTCGCCTACTTCGATTCGCTCATCTCTAGTTATAACACATGGCTAAATGCGGGCAGCACTTTATGAGCATGCATTAGGGATTCATTGGGGTTAGTTAGAAGCAAAAAAACATTGTCAGCAAATAAATTAATGATGTGGGAGTGATTATGAGAATGGAATACGGAAATGAAGAGCTGAAAATGGATTAATTCGGCTAGAGGTTCTATCATTAGGTTTAAAATAGTTGGAGAGGGGGGGCATCCTTATGGGGTGCGATTAGAGATAGTGAAGGATTTAGACAATAGGTTGGAGGAATAGACTTTAGCAGAGGGTTTGGAATATAAAGCTATAATAGCCGAGATAATATATCCAAAAAAATCAAATTTTCTCTAAGACCTGTCTCATGTAAAGCCAGTGTATTCTGTTAAATGCCTTCTCTGCATCAATAGATAAGAGTACAGAAGGTGTGCGACTGGTCTCAGCATAATATAGTAAATTTGCCTGGTAGCATCTGAAATCTGTCTGCCCTTGGTAAAGCCCTTTTGATAGGGCTTAATCAAATAGGAAGAATGTCGAGAAGGCATTTTTGTTAACAATTTGGCATGTACTTTAACACCAGTATTCAATAGCGAGATGGGTCTAAAGTTGACTGGAGTAACAGGATCCTTACCAGGCTTAGGAAGGGTAACTATAGTTGCAGTCAACATCTCCACGGAGAATGATGCAGTGGATGCTGCTGCTGTAAAAAGTTGAATTATGTATGGGGCAAGAATATCAGCATAACATTTATAGTATCCATCATTTCATGAATCCATCTGGGCTTT